TCACAAATAGGAAACAGAAATTCGGGGAAGATATTGCTGCTTTTGGTTCGGATTTAGAACGGTTATCGCAATTAGCGTATTCTGAATGCCCTCACTCAGTCCGCGACAAAATTGCATGTGCTCAATTTGTTTCTGCTCTATCCGATGGGTTTATTAAAAGGACTCTCCAATTGGAAGGGGTTATTTCTTTGAAGACAGCAATTGAAAGGGCCAAAGCTATTAAAGTTATACGGGAGAGTTGTTACGAGGGAAAAAGGGAAGGTGGCTTTGGGGGAAATTTTGAAAGAAAAAAAAATAGTAGAATATTTTTTTAACAAAAATAAGGGAGAAAACGGTAAAAGTAAAAATTTTGGAAATGTTAATTCTGTGAACCAAAAAGAATGTTGGCTTTGCGGTAAAGCAGGACATTTCCGTGCACAGTGTCCAGAGGCTTCTAAAAAGGAAAACTAAATTTTGCCGAACTACTTGGGGCGGGTTCGGCGGAGGTAGGACAGGCCCCGTTATTAAAGAAAAAAAATTAATTATAGGGTTAGGAAAATTAGTGTTACTAAGGGAAATTTTTGTTATCCGGGATTATTAAATAGAAAGACCTGTTTGTTTAAGATAGATATGGGCTCGGATGTCTCAATTTTAAATAGTAAATTTGTTGATCCTGAGAAGGACAGGTTGCAATTAGGGAATTGTAATTTAAGATATCCCGAGAGCCGGTGCCGGTAGAGTTTAAAACTTTAGCGAAAATGTCTTTAGGAAGATTTTCGTTTGAAATGCCTATGTTCGTAATGAAAATGGAAGAAGACTGTTTGCTCGGCTAGGATTCTGTCAAAAACCAATATATTCGATAGGATTTTTAATTCTATTTTTAATTATTTGAATCAGGTAAATGTTGAGCAGGATAGAAATAAAAAAATTTGTTCTTGTATAGGGAGTTTTCCTAAGGAAATCGTTTTCTTGAGGAGGTGTTTAAACATCAATCAAAAGATCTTGATACTCCACAAAAAAAATGTTTCTTTGAATTTTTATCAGATTTTGAGGATGTATTTTCAAAAGAAATTACCGCTGGAAATTGTGATGTTGTCAAGCATGAAATAAAATTAAATGATAACCATCCTAAACAAGTGCCTCGACGTATTCCTTTAGGAATGAGGGGAGAGGTAGACAAAATTTGGATAAACTTCCGAAAACGACTTACCTCCGATTTCAATAAAACTTTGTCAAAAGCTTTAATTTGGGCTAAAATAAAAGCTCTTAAAAGGATTTTTAGCGATTCCTATGAAAAAGCCATTTTTTAAGATCAAATGATGAAAATGTAATAGATAAATATTTCAATTAGGGGATCACCTTCATTAGCCTTGAATTGAAATACTTTATTGAATACTATTATTAACAGGATATATTTGTCTCATTATTTGAAAGAATGCTTCAATTCGCCAGCATTACATAATAATAAATACATTGTGAAATTTTGATGTCTCAATATCTAATAAATTTTCGCTTTATACAATGTATGAATCTACAATATACTAAAAATAATAGATATCGAAAAGATTAGACAGACCCCTACGCAAGGTAAAAATATTTATTAAATCTTTGCCTTACTAAATAAATGAGTCTACAATATACTAAAAACAATAGATATCGAAAAGATTAGACAGACCCCTACGCAAGGTAAAAATATTTATTAAATCTTTGCCTTACTAAATAAATA